TGGACTCATTGTTTTTGTTCATTGCATATATAAAAAAAGAGATGCTTGTAGCCTCCAGTCTGCCTGGTCATACAGGCAAATCAATTATAAATACAATACTTAAGGGCATAGGAGCTGCTTAAGGACAAGGAAGGAATTCTACTAGTCTGAGCCAAGGAGGAATCAGTTGCTTGTTCCAAATCCAACCATCCTATCATCATCATCATCATCATCCATAAAGGGGAGATTACTATTGGCAGACATTCTGTAGCCATTTCTCTAAGAGAGTCCTGCCCAGTAGTGGTGAAATTCCCTTGTTGGAATAGTTGTTGGAACTATTGGAACAAAAATAGTGAGGCATAGAAACTTGTATATTGTAATAATATTATTATGTATCCAAAGAACCCATACTGGCTGTCTCCAGGTTGAGAACATCTGACTTATGAACAATGCATACTTACCAATGGACTGGTAATGTCACTAAAAATGGCAGACGGTTTAGTCCTTCCTTGAGCCAATGAACTGCTGATGGTGCACAATGTTTTCATAAACCACTGAAGCTGTGTTTTTTTTTAATATACTGCCTGTTTTCAGGAGTGTTCAGCAGTTCATGTAAACACTGCATAGCATCAGTAGTTTATCAGCTGAAAGAAGGAAAAGCCATCTGTCATTTTTAGTAATAGGCAGTCTATTCATAAATATGAGTTCCAACTTACATATTTCAAATTAAACACAGAACCCATTCAAATGGAACAGAATCCATTCTTAATCCAGGAACTGCCTGTAGTCTTCAAATCCATTCTAAGCCTTCCTTACTATACTAAAATATTTCTTTGCTAATAAGTGCTTATATCGTACAGTATAGTTTACATATACAAAATCAGGTACATTTATTTCCTAAAGATAAGATGTTTCTCAACTCTTACCGATCCTTGGCAAAACTGAGGATTGTTTCCCTGTTTAAAAGTACAGACAACTGGTCTAAATTATACTATGCTTTGGCTTTAGAAATGAATGAGTGTTGTTTATTTTGAGGCCCATCTAGTGTCATCAAATACATCATTAAACATTCTGATTGCTATTGTTCATCTTTCCCCCCATAGAAAGTGCTGATCAGCTTCCTCAGTTCTCTCTGCATCTGCTTTCTTGGTCATGAGTCAATGCTGACACAGCTTTCTCAAGGTTTCCTCTCTCCATTCCTGCCTTCAAGTCAGCACAAGGGTTGAAAAAGCTCATTGCCAAAGCAGTGACTCATGTAAACATCGTATACTAAAAGAGTTTAGGAAGAACCACCACTGTAGTAGGGAAGCATCTAAACACTGCAAACTATTACTCCAGTCAGGTTCCTTCCATTCATATATAACCTGTTGGTATAACAATTGAACAGAGAGAAAAAGGGACACACAATCAAAGCTTTTGCCTCTCTTAGCTCTAGATCAGGGGTGTCAAATCCAATTTGATTTGGGCCACATCAGTGTTGTGTTTAACCTTGGGGGGCCAGGATGGATGTGGCCAGCTTGACATCACTCATGCTGGGGTTGCCTTTAGAGGTCTGAGCACTCGGCCAGTGAAAACGGGCTCCCGAGCTCTGTTTTCAGCTGCGACAGCTTCTTGCAACCCTCTGCCAGTGAAAACAGAGCTCAGGAGGGCCATCTGCAGCCCTCACAACTCCATTTTTGGCTGCGGTGGCATCCTGAACCCTCTGCCAGTGAAAACTGAACTTGGGAGGGCCGCAGAGCTCCATTTTTGCTGGAAGAGGCACTGTGGGCCAATCCTTTGCTGTTTCCAGGGCGGCCCTGTAGGCTGGATCTAAGCACGCCATGGGCCGGATCTGGCCTCCAGGTCAGGCCTTGCGTTTGACACCCTTGCTCTAGATCATGAGAACTGACATCTTGATTAAAGTTTTATTAGATTTCAAAATAAGTGGTCTAATTCTTTAATTAGAACCTCTAGTTAAAACCGGAAGGCAATTTCATTTGTTCGAATGAGTTGAAAAGCCTAGTGACTAGGTTCAGTCCATTTTTAAATACATAATGTTGCCTTAGATTATAAGGTGATATGCACATATGTGTATTTACATTCACATACACTATGTATACTCAAACATTCGTTACTTTCACAAAGTAGAAATAAAATGTAATTTCATTAGAAGTTTAAATAAAGTTTTCACCACAAAGTATAAAAAAAAATCTTTGGATTTCATAACTGAGAAAGACCAACAGTCTCCATCAATGGTACATCAGATAAGCTGATCTCATACTATACATACCTTTAATATTAATGCTAATAATATTTAAAAACTTGATTAATTCTCCCATACAAGTATTTATTTCTTATGAAAATAAGAACATCCTAAAAGAATATGATTCAAAGGAAGATTCAGCTTTGCCAAGAGAATGTTGAAACATGATTTCTATATATCTGAAAGGATGAATGATAATGAAAGCTAAAATTGTCATTCATAATCTTCAGAATAGTGTGTTATACCTCAATACAGTTCCTGTCATTTGTAACCACGATTTACTGTCTCACTATAATTCAAGGGAATAAAGAGGATTGAATAGTAATAAATTTCAAAAATACATTTAGCTTCTACATAGACTCAAATCTCTGGTGAAAGCAATAGACTTTCTATGGTATTATTATTATGGATAGATTGTAGTTATTTACCTTTCAGAGCTCCTGGGTCTCCCAGGATCCTGTTTAACATTTCTTTAGGAATCTTCTCGAAAGCTTCATTGGTTGGTGCTAATAAGGTAAATTGACCTTCCCCGTCTAAAAGATTATTGAGACCAGCTGCTGCCACAGCAGTCTTTAAACAAATGGAAAAGAAAGAGAATCGTTTAAGTTAGACTAAATCTAATAAAGCTGCCAATTACACAAATTTCAAAGAAAGTGATCTCACGTTCCATTGGTGTAAGGAAATAAGATTGAAATCATTTGAAATGAACTTACCCTAAGAGTTTCAAGACTTTCTTCAATCTCTACAACTTGCAGGATACTGTTGGAAGTTGTAGAAATGACTTTGTCTATCAGATGGACTACTCCATTGGTAGCATGATGGTCAGCTTTCAGCAATCTAGCACAGTTCACAGTCACAATCTGGAATGGGCATGACAGGAATAAATGAAAATGAATATATTGTTGGCATTAAATGTCTATATTGATTTGAAGGATGGCATAACACAAGAAGGGTATCATTAAGAGAGAATGAATCTAGAGATTGCTTGTGTAGATCTGACAGAATATTTTGAAGAATCTATAGATTTTACAAATAGCTATTTGTAAATTAATAATTTTACTTTAATAAAAACTCATAAAGTTAAAGATCAATTTCAAAGAACACCTTTTTACTCAAACTTTTTTACTTGAACACAAACATCTAAATCCAAGGCACTGAACCTATAAAAACCGATGCATATATAATTCACTGCTTTTCCTTCATATAATTTGTATTATATTCACTCTACACCTATGTACAGTAGAAGTTTTCCCCCTTCTGTCTCAAAATAATTTAGCAGTTTTCTTTTAAATTATATATTATAATGAAAATATATGGCTGCAGGGAGATGTGAATAAAGGAGATGTGTTCAGTTTTTTAAATCTTTGCATTCCTACAAACATGCTATATACATATATTCATCATAATGGGTATGATAACATCTCTTTAAAGGGTTTCTTTATGGTAGCAACTCCAGATAAAAACAATTTAAAAAACTAGTCTTCTATTTTTTTGGCTATCATACTGTAGAAAGCTAATTTATATTAATATAACTGGCTACATTATTAAGCCATCCAAAATGAAATAATCTTATCTTCATCCAGTTAAGTCTAAGTTAAGCAGGGGTGGGATTCTACCAGTTCACACCTATTTGCTAGAACAGGTTGTTAACATTCTAAGCAGTTCAGACAACCAGTTGTTAGAAGAAATTACCGGCCTAATCCTGTAAGGAAGGCAGGAAGGAAACATTTTGGTGTTGCTTACTGAAACTGCCTCTTTGTTAACCCTTATTACATTCTTGGCAGGACTAGACTTCCTGTCTCAGGAACTTCTCTTGAGTTTTTTTCCCTTCCTTGGCTGGTACTTTGCTTGTGTGGAGTGACCATTCAAAGTTACAATGGCATTGAAAAAAGTGACTTAAGACCATTTTTCACACTTACAACTGTTGCAGCATCCCCACAATCATGAGAGGCCAGGCGAGGAGATAGTGCCTCGATGTGAGTGATGTTGAGATGGCCACACCCAGTCAGTCACATGACCACCAAGCCATGCCTACCAACTAAGCCATGCCCACAGAACCGGTTGTTAAAAAATTTGAATCCCATCCCTGAAGTTAAGTCTGTGCCCAACTGTATTTGTAAATTTACCGGATACTTACTCCATTTGGGTAATGATGAATCTTGATGTCAATATTCTGATACATTGAAGGGAGAGAAAGCCCGTGTTTTAGCTCATCAGTTAGGACTCGTTTATTCACCATGTGATATCGCAGAGCATTTAGCAACTCAATATTGACATTGCTCACCAAAGAATCCAACACTTCCTAAGATCAAGAAATCATATTAAAGAGTTGGCTGTTCTGAGCATCCTATCCCAGGTCTGGTCTTATGTATTTTATGTGACTATTTCTATCTGCTTTCTGCCTGGTAGGAGGTAGGGAACTGTACAAGTTTCCCTAGGGTGAGAATTGAGAGCTATGCCAGAAAAACAGCAGTTGCTATCTCAACATTTTCTTAACATAAATTTTCCTTACATCTGCTTCCTTTTCCAACCCAATGCATTAAAGTACGGCTACCCTAATTCTCAGTTAACATGGTTAGTAACAGAACAATTTGCAGGCACTATGTCGAGGTGGCTTAACCTTGAGAAAAGGAATTTTGCCTTTCCAAGTCGGAAACCAAGCTAATGAATGGGGTGCAGTGATAACTTCAAATTCAGTCAGTGCAACAATATCTACAGAATTTTATTGTTTTCATTAGATTGGTGAAAGCACTGGTAGCAGTTTATGCCACAAGTTCTTACATTTTGAAGCAGATGTGCAACATTGCAGCAGGTGTATAAAAATGGGAAAGCTTGTGACATGATAACCCAACACTACCTTCAGGAGACACTGGCTCAAAATAAAGACAAAGAATCTACTTTTCGATTGCCGATCTGACATTCATCTTCAACATTCTTTTGCAGTCTAACTTGTTCTTAGCTTTCATGAGCCTGGATAGCTATAGTTATATCCCTCTATTTGCCACAAATAGTTTATATAATTCCACTTAATCTCATATTTTTAAAAAATATGTTAAGCATATTTCAATAATATTTCTGATAAAGACAAGGCAAATGTTTCATTTCACAGGCATAACTCTGGATCCAACTTCTTCACATTTATGTATTTTTAGTTTTATTCATAATGATTGGTTAAAACCAAGCTTAGAGTTCTATCACATGAGGAATTCCACTCATGTTGAGCAACATGCAGCTGCCTAGACTTACAGCAGGCAGGGATGCCCAGGCTTCATTGGTGGGGGCAAAGATTGTGTAGCTGCCGGGGCCTGTGATTTCAGCACTCAGGTTAGAGCTGGCAGAATAGAGCTGAGTGGTGGTGGCTCCAACAACTCCAAGTGTCTCATAAAGATTGACAAGTGGCAAAGCTGTTAAAAATAAAGGCATATCTCTTTAGCAAAGTCATAGTCAGTTAAGAACAAAATCTATTCTCTCTCCCTCTCCCTTTCTCTTTCCCTCTCCCTTTCCTTCTCTCTCTGCCTCTCCCTCCCTCTCTTTTTCTCTTTCTGTGGTGCCTTCAAGTCAGCATTGACTCCTGGTGACCACCTGGACAAGTCCTTGTAGTTTTCTTGTCAAAATTTCAGAAGTGGCTTAGCACTGCCTCCTTATTTCCCCTTACATCCTCCCTCAGACACATTACTCTTGTAATTTAAGTTTCCTTTAACCATCATAATTAATAGCCATTGACAGACAAAAATAGCATGGTTTATGGAAATGCTGAGGAAAGAAAATTCACTATAATCTCCCATTTGCCTGTGTAACAAAAGCCAAAATATGTGGCAGAAAATAGGGATAAAATAAAATTAGGACTGAAAGATTTTACTCTGAGATGCAGATGAGAATCTGCTTGCTCTGTATATGTGTTAACTAATTAAATCCCACACTTGTCTTGCGAGCTATTTAACATTGTTTATACTTTGAAAACAGAAGCATAATGACTGGTTTTAAAGGTTAAAAAGAAGCTGCCAATTTTTATATCACTCTGTTTAGAACAGATATTAGAAAAATTCTTATGATTATAAATTGCTTTTTTACTTACTGATTTATTGCTCATTGGTCAAATCAGGAGATATGCATGAATACATTGATCACTACAAATTTACATGTTTCAAACTAGGGGACTTTTAAGTGTCACTTAATAATCTTATTTACCAGCTGGGCAGCCTTTTTCTCCAGGAACTTCTTCATATCCAGGACAACATTCATAAGCAACCACTCTGTAGTGAGAAATATACACAGCATAATAAGATAAATCAACCAAAACCTCAGTTACCATCTGGCATAATTGGTACAGTGAAAGTTGACTGAAATTAAGTCTAGTTAGATTGGTCTGCATTGACCTTTCATTCTGTAATTTGTGACCATCAACCTCCCTGAAAAGTCATATAGAACAACTGGAAGGATGACGGGCATGTTGAGAAATATCCCCATGGTGAAGTTAATTGAAAAATTATAGACTACTCAGGGGAGGAGGCATTCTAAAGATGAACTGGGGAATTAGATTAGATTAGATTCAATTTTATTGTCATTGCCATGGATATAGGCAACGAAATGCAGTTAGTATCCAACCAGAAGTACAAAACAACAATAAAATATAAATGTATTATATAAATATATGCATTGAAGCCAACATCATATGTTGTTTGCTAACTGTTAAACATATACCCATTCACTGCATCTTTCTAAAGCTTAAAAAGTTTTAATTCATCTATGTATATCAGGGTGATCAACTGTAGTCTACATTAATGAAGTGATTTTTTTTTTTAGCAGATTAAGCTATTTTGGTATCTGCTGGGCTCCTACATTGTATTTAATCACTGTTTGGATGACATCATAATTGCATTATGTTTATTATCTTAACAAGCTGTCTAATGTTTTCTTTCACCAAACCTCAGTATTAGAATAATACTTCTCTCCATGGGAGATAATTTTTGCTTTCTTTGACCAGCCTACTTGACTAAGAATTGATTTAATTTTTTTTTCTTTCTCTTGTAACCATTTATATGAACTCATGGCTATCCCAACTGAATTATGAACAATCAGGTAAATAAATCAGGCAATGAATGTACCTCTGTGTTGTAAATAAGCAGCCAGGCCAATTAATTATGTTCTAAGGTTTAATTTTTAAAAAATTGATCAGTGATCAAACTAGTTGATCAGTGATCAAACTAGTTGTTAAATATGTCAGAATTGCCTCTGACATAATTAATAGCTGCTAGTGAGTTGTTTTTTCTCTGCCTTCTAGCACAGCAAAAAAGAAAAAAGAAATAAAAGTCAGCATATTTTTTTAAAAAACTCATCCATTTTATTATTATTTTTAAACAGCAAAATAAAAGCTATGCTTTCCTTTTTCATATGGAAAAAAAGCTTCATCTTTCCCCAATATGGGTTAATTTCTAAATCTGCAACTTTTAAAAAAGCAGACAATGTAATCTCAGAGTCAAAGAGAATAATGTACTTTCTGTGGATTTAATCTATAGAATTGATTCAGAAGCAAGTAAAACGTGTTTGTTTAAAATGGTATGAAAAATAGAGGAATGTATCTGTATATGAAATAGGGGAGAGTCATTGGATGGCAGCAAGTTAAAACTATTTGGCATTTTATTATTTGATCTTCAGCATGCTACAGAATGAAAAAAAAAATCCTTAATATAATTAAATTTTAAACTGCAACAAATACATGCACTACATTTATAGAAATAAATTCTGTTCTGCAATTTCCAAGAAAAATTAGCTAGGAAAATCCTAACTCATTGTCTAGACTTTATATATATTCCATATGGGAAATGTTTTGCTTAAAATAATTTGCTTTCTTTGATGCTTGGAGCTCTCAACACCCCACTGGTACACTTTTCTGTCTCCACTAACTTTTTCTTTAATACAGATATATACATTTATATGCCCAATTTGGCAACCAAATAAACTCAGCCTTAATAGTCTAGACAGATTTTTAGTTCAAACCAGAATTAAATACAAAAAAAAAAAAATTAATGGAGAATTCAGCCACAGTTCAGCATCAAGAATTCCCAAGATAGACTAGCAGGGTTTCACATATTAGGGAGAAATAAATCTGAGGCAAATATACACAAAATAGACAGTTATAGCTCAACATTATTATCCTATTCCATCTTTATGGGTCACTACTTAGCCTAGGTAAATATCTCTCTCACTGAAATACAGAGGTACGTAGTAGAAAGGAAAATGTTGACATTGAAGAGCCTCATATGTGTGGGATAGCCCTCAAAGAGTATGACATCTAATTATTTGTTCTACCACTGATCACTCAGCTTGAATCATTATAGCAATAGCAATAGCACTTAAACTTATATACCACTTCACAGTCCTTTACAGCCCTCTCTAAGCAGTCTACAGAGTCAGCATATTGTCCCCAACAATTTGGATCCTCATTTTACCCACCTCAGAAGGATGGAAGGCTGAATCAACCTTGAGCCTGGTGAGATTTGAACTGCCAAATTGCAGGCAGCTGGCAGTCAGCAGAAGTAGCCTGCAGTACTGCAGTCTAACTACTGCGCCACTACGGCTCATTATCCTACTTATATCACTGGCTGGATGAATAGATAATAAGAAGCCCTTCTCAAGATCTGCTTCTCAAAGTGGTATTATCTAGTGGTTAACAATTTTATTAAGTTTGTTTCCTATGAATTTTAAAAAAAGTCCTTTTAAACAGTAAGAACTATCAGACAAGAGGGATGTGAAGCACTATGAAGTAGTATATTAGTCTAAATGCTATTGCTGTTCAGATGCAGAATAAGTAGCTTGCAAAAAATAAGACTTTGCTTATCTCTATGCTCAGTTGCAATTGAAAGAATCCTAAGAAGGACTTTGGATTCCTGTTTTTAGTTATGTTACACCAAGATAGAAGAGGTTTTTTATGGCCTGAGTTCTTAGCTTAGCTCTGATGGTAAGTTTGTCATATCAAATCAAAACTGAGTTTCACATAGTTTGTTCCTGAAGAAGGAACTAAAGAAGGATATGATGGCACACATACTACATATTTGGGTCAGAATCAACTGGCTTCCTGCCTCCATTTTCCTGTTTGGTTTTTCTGTTGGAATGGTACGTGGGAATGGCTTTGAGGGAAGAGGGGAAGTGCTGTGTCTGAGGGAACAATCAGACAAGAGAGTGAGGAGCCCACAATTGCTTAACCGTCAGAGAAAGAAACCTAGGAAGGACACACCCTAATTGATCAGACTAATAAGAGACAGCAGGAAATCTGTACTTTCAGACTTGGAAAATTCTGTTAATGTAGTCTTACAATAAAATAAAGTTAGCTTAACTGATCATGTTTCCTTTCTGGTTTACTTTGGAGGGTTGACAGCTGCTTTCCTTCTCAGTTTGTTACTAAGCAATTATCTTCTGAATTATGATTCTCCTGGTTTCCAATGTCCTGTATGCCTTAGTAGTATAACTCAGATTCAAGCGTTGTCTTTGATTATCCTTATTAATACTTTACTTATTGACCAGCCCTCCCTTGCCAAATGCAAACTGGAGAAGTGTATGAAATTAGATGAATGGAATATTGTGTCCAACAATTGTTTTAGACTTCAAGTCCATAATCTCTTTGCTAATGGGCATGCTGGCTGAAGCTGATGCAAGTTGACATTCAAAACCTCTAAAAATTTCTTAATTGCTTACCTGGTACTTTACCCCCCTAAATCATTTCTTTTTAAAGTATCTTTTAAGGAGCAAAGGTATTCTTATTTGCATTCCTGTGGGATGGAATTCTTACAGACTTATGTCATTCCTGGTAAACTAAATCATTCTGTTTACATTCATGAGTAAAAACTAAAAGAATGTAAGGATGCTATCAGAGAAAATAATTCCTTCTTTGCTCCTTCAACATCTAGCTTTGAAAACTTACCTAATTAACTAAACAGAGTTCTTCTTTCACTGTACAGTTAATAAAATATTGTTGTATCACTTTAGTTGCCATTACTTTTAAACCAACATCTTATCCAAACATATACTGACAGTTATGCAAACCTACTTCTCCACGCAGTCTAATTCCAAGTAAAACATACATTCTAAAACTGGGAATGTCTCAGGAATCCCCCTGTTCTTTATGAAAGTAACAGGGCTACGCTAATCCTCACTTTTTATCTATATTTTCACATCAGATTCTGATGCTCCACCTCCCTTAGGCCTTGGAAGCTGGTTTTGAAAAAATAAACAATCCTCCCCAGCCTCTAAGTTAAAAAAAAAGTTGCTATGTCCCCCGCCCCCCATCTCAGAATAGTCCATCGAATTCATAAAATTCAAAGATTCCTTTTCAAAACTGATTTAGCATAACTCCTCAGGCATAATAACAACCCGTGCAAGGAAAGGGTTGTTCAGGCAAGAAAGAAAGAATGTGGAACAAAGGAAAACTCAATTAATTTCGATTACTGTTGGCATTTATATAAGCACAAGAGTACAGTGACTAGTAGACCTTTATCAAAGAAAGACAAATGATGATTGAACATCAAAGAACTCTGAGAAAACTTTCAAATAGCAAAGTGATTGCTCACCTTACAAAATCAAAACACACCAGAGATAACTCTGAATTGTCAGGTGAACTAGAGGACACATACATTTGTGGGAAGTTTTATAATCAGACAGTATCATGACATTTCTCCCACAGGTTTCCTCAGGTCTATGGGCTAAAGACAGAGCACAGCATCTGGTGATAGAAGGGTGAAATGCAATGACATTATCCTCCAGCAAACCAGAGGTTTGGAAGAAGAACAAAATCAGCTCATTTTCCTTTGATGTTATGAACGAACATTATAGTTCTACTTTGTCTTGGAAACACAACATTTTGGGAAATGGCCTAAAGGCATTCAGTATTAAAGAATTGTACATTTCGCTTACTTTACTACCATAGTCCAAGAACATCTTGTAAATGATAACATTGCTTGCTTTATTATGATAGCAGTTCTTCAAGATAGTTTAACTAATGGCAGTTTAAGTGCTTTGTGGCAGAAGAGATTTGAACCCACAGTCCCTATATGTAACTTATTTTATGGCTTATGCTTTAATCATCACCATAAATATAAATTCTCCTTTGCAGATGTTTAAATCTGCTTCTATGTTAACATTTTATAATCAGATTTGGTTTTCTCATATGCAAAACCGGGAAGGTAGCCTCATGGTGGCAAACATTTCTAATTATATCACTTGTATTTGTGGCCAATGGACCAGCACTTGACTCAATGGG